GGTGGAAGAAGCATGTGCAGCTCAGCTGAGCTCTGACAATTGGCAGGGGATGGGCCCTCGCCCAACCTTTTCTAATAGTCAGCTCCAGAGAAGCAGAGCCAGGTTCATATCAAGTCCTTTACTGAATTGGTATATGACCCTTAGAAAATGCTTTTGTCACCAGGTATAGGGGAACACGCTTATAATTGCAGCACTCAGAGGCTGAGGCAAGACAGCCACCATGATTTTGAAGCCAGCCTGGGCTATGTGGTGAATTCAAGGCCAGTCTGTACTACATCGGGAGATCCTCTCTCCAAAAACAAAAGAGAAAATGATGTTTTTCTCTTATGTGTTTCAGTCTCTCCAAGTATCAAATAAAGAAGGCCCATCTGCTCCTGCTTTTCCTGACTTTGCCTCCTTATTTTTCCCTTGAGTACTAATATGGCTTCTAGATGCACAGGCCTGTTCAGTAGATGGAATGGTACACAAGAAAGGCAAGGTCTGCTTCATCCCTGAAACTCGCTGCCAATCAAGTTGAGGAGATAAGAACTCACAGAGTGAGGAAGTGCTCTGTGAAATGGTGTGGGAATTCCCTCCCACTCCAAGAGTAGAAAGGAAGAAAACCTGGGTAGATGCAAGGGCCCCAACACTCCTGCAGGAGAAAAGGGTTAAACTGAACAGACAAAATTTCCCAAAGCAATGAGGACAGGGGACTGGGTCCCAGCCCAGAATTGACCCCTTCATATCCCATGATGTAAAGATGGGTGCTCCCTGGAGGGTCTGACCAGGGCTCATCTTGATCCCAGCATGGCCTCTCACAGGCCCTGGTTTTCATCCTTCCTAAACCACATTCCTTGCCACCCACCATGGGGATCTGAAGCTTTGCTTGCAGGCATTTAGTGAGGATTAAATGTATGTGACAGTGACAGTACCCAGAAAGGCACCCGGTGCCTAACGGACCATTTTAAGAAATGCCACTTCCCTTCCTGCCTTTCAGCTACATACACAGTTTGACCTGTCACCAGCAGGAACATCAAAAGTACAGCTGGCCTTTGAGGATGGAAAGCTTTTGCTGCCCAATCAGCCAGAGTCTGTTCACTCTAACATGACTTTCCCAGTACCTCACTCCAGCGCACACACACACTGTGTCAACATCCAAGGGAGATGAGAGGCCATTTCCAAGCCTCTGATCAGGGACCAGGTTCTGAACTGTCTGTTACCATCAGCATGAAAAACAAAGGGCCAACATCCAACCGCAGCCTCAGGGCTGCCTCCACCCTGGGACTTATAAGGCATGCGATTATGAGCCCAGATGTCACTTCATATGGGGCTAGAGGGAGAGGCTTCAATTAAATTATAGAAAAATCCTATAAAACACCTTGGAACATTTTATGAAGCTATTGATATTTCGGCAAGCAAACAGAATGAGATTATGGTTTGGGAAGAATCAGACAGGGGTGAGGGTAAGACTATGAAGGCTGCTTAAATAAACATAAAGAAGAACCATTGGGATTTAGAAGTAGTACCCCAAAAGAAAACACATGACCTCATCTATGCAGCACCCCGAGAGAAGAGCACAAGGATGCCCTCGTGGGTGCACGTGATTTCTTGAGAGACACCACTTAAAGTCATATTTGAGCTAAGTTTTTAATCTTTGGGGAAAATATAGGCCCTTCTTCTTTGGGAAACACAAATATACCCCAAATTCTCTTATATATTCCAAGTTCTCTTGTATAGACACAATATTTATGGTCATGGATTTTCTTAATGAAGCTGATTTCTTTTTCTTGTCTTTTTTCTCTCCTCTTCTTTTTTTTCATGTGTGTATGTGTGTGGTATTAGTACTGGGGATTGAACCCAGTGCCTGCATACTGAGCCACATCCCCAGTGTGTTTATTATTTTCTATTTTGAGACAGGGAGTTGCTAAATCACTAAGCTGCCCAGGCTGGGTCAAATTTGTGATCCTCCTGCCTCAACCCACCAGAGTACTGGGACGACAGGTATCTACTCCCACACTCAGGTATTCTTGATGAAATATTTCTTTTTCTATTTTATTTGAAAGAAAAAATAAACAAAATCTCAGAACAATAATAAGAGAGTAACAGTGATTAATACATTGCATATTGGGTTGGGGAGATGGCTCAGTAGAATAAATACTTGCCTGGCAAGC